GCCAAATCTACTCCAATAAGGCCACACCTCCTAATCCCTCCCAAGCCATACCACTCCCTGATAACTAAGCATTAAAATATATGAGCCTATGGGTGCCATTCTTATTCAAACTACCACATTTGGTATCAAATTGGTTTTAAATAAGTGTTCAAGTAAACTGGAGTTGTTAAATTGTCCCACCTTCCCTCTGGCTCAGAGAGAAACTAGAGTTTTAAAGGGAAAAAGAAAGCCCAACTTCAGCTGCCTAAACTGGCTCAGTAAGCTTGGCCAACACATCTAGTAGGTCAATGAGAAGAACAAACTAATGGCAAGGGACAGAGAGGATATGTAAACAATGTGACCATATTTAAAAAAAAAATGAACATGTCCATTGGCCCCAGGTCTGTCTTTTGGGGGTATTAACATGAACGTTTAAAATTAAATTTAAACAATCCCAAGCCATGCCTGATGACACAGTGCTGCTGGAGATGCTATCTCCTGGATCCTTGACTCATTTCTGGTTCTACAAGATCATCCCGAAAGTCTCTACAGCTGGAGGGATGAACTGGTTTTTAGGAGAAAATTGATCTTGCCCCATCACGCAGCCCTTCCTCCTAATAGTAAATCACCACAATCTAGGTCTGCCATTATAAGAAACACAGTAGAAATACCAAAAGCTACCCTGCTCTGGATGTCTCATGAACTCTAACGAGAAGTGTTTTTTTTTTAATTTTTTAAAACAAAGCAATTTCAGAGTGCCTGTTACAATGACTTAAACCTTTAACACATACTTAAAATTTGTTAAGAAAACACAAGACTATTAAGGTGTTTTATCTGGATTTGTACCTATTAGATAGTTAAAATACTGTGTAGATCATCTGAGTTTTAGATACAGTCTCCTGGGCTTTCATTTAAAATATGATCATCTTCTTGAAAAGGAAAGTATTTTCTAAATTGTGCAAAAGTAACAATAAGAATGATGATGATAAGGTTTAAAAAAGGAACCCACAAATACAGAAAAGAAAATCTAGTGTATGAGATACATTTTTGATAAGAGAAAGTTAAGAAGAAGTACCATGGGGCTGAAGGGCTAGCTCAGCCATTAAGAACACTGGATGTTCTTCCAAGGATGTGGGTTTGAGTCCCAGCACCCACATGCTGGCTCACAACTATCTATAACTCCAGTTCTAGGAGATTCAGTGCCCTCTGCTGGCCTCCACGGGCACCAGGCACACACATGGTACACAGGCACGGATGTAGGCAAAACACTCACACACATAAAATAATATTTTTTAAAAAATAAAAAGAAAGGTAAACACTTTGTATGGTAAGGTGAAGGTGGTTACAAACCAGAAATAGATGGAAACAAAGTTAAAAGATCAAAGTATGTTGTAGGAGTATCAGAAATTGAGTATGGTTATAACTAAGTCAATTGTGGAGAGGTGAGGTCTAGACAGTGTCCACTGCCTCCTTATGAGATTCCAATGAAAAAAACCAAAGTTTAATTCCACCAAAGTTCGGGGGTGAGGTGTGAAGAACCAGCAGGTTTATTAGGCTTCTTATGGACCAATGGGTAAGGGATTATAGGCAGACACATGGACAACCTTAAGGCAGCTCTGGAATGTCTGCACCCAGGAAGATGATGACTTCTCATTGCTTTGAGGATGGAGTCCCCCTCCCTAGTCACCTGTATACTCTAGCCCTTTCCTAAGATCCCACAGCCATGTGTAATTAGTGCACAACAGCATATACTTGATTGGGAGGAATGGCTATACACCAAAGTGAAAATCCCACGGCTTTCCCTACCCTCTTCTTCAGTGAGGAATGTCCACTACCAACAAGCACAGTAGTGATGTTTTGAGAGCAGGCCAAGAAACCCTGAAGATAGTCCTGTACAACAGCTACTAAATTTTAAAGGTCAAAATTCAATACTCTGCGATAGAATTGATGTCTAATTCTCTGCCTACAATGATAAGCTTTTCTTAAGTATTGATCTATTTTTAGGGTTTTTTTTAGAAACTGACTTAGGAAAACAAGGACGTTTTTTACTAAATGAGATATCTAAAACTTGTGGTAAGACTTTATTTGTATTTTTATTTTCTTGTTGCTTTGGATATCTCATTGAATAAAGTCCCCCCTTACAGGATAGCTATAGCCTCAACAGCAGAGAAAATTCTTATAAAAAGAATTACTCCAACCCTAACTAGCCATCTTTGCCACCAAGTGAAACTTTCTGTGCTGGGAATGGGTTACATATAATTGAGCTGTTAGCAAAGGAGGCCCCATGGACACACTCAAACAACTCACGCTATTGCCAAGGATATTGGTTGTTATCTACAAACTGATGGTACAGTTCTACTGCTGAAGATAACACGTATATATCTCACTTCTAACACCGAGAATTCGAACTGGTGCCTAACTAGAACCTTCACCACTATTGGATAGTGTTTATAGTGCTGAAAGGTACTCTGCATGCTACCAGAGGGAAAAAATTATCATCAATATCGCCCAGTTACAAACTCTTTGACCTACAGTAACCTACCTGCAAAATAAATTGGTGAAATACTGGCATAAAAGTTGTGGCAGTAACCAACCACTGTTTGATTGGATTTAAGGCCCAATCCACAAGATGGAACCCATGCCTGAAACTGCCTGGGTGGGTAAGAACCTGAGACTGGATAGGCATGGGCTTAAGGGAAAACCAAATAAAGGACACAGACATAAAATGACTCCTCATGACATACTACTATATCCATAGATATTGCCTCTCTCAGCCATCATCAAAGAGACTTCCTCGCTGTAGACAGGAATTAACATAGAGACCCACAACTGACAATATGCAGAGATTGGGAGGCTTCGGAGCACTCAATCCTAAATAGGATTTCTCTCTTAAACCCCTCCCTTCAAGGATCAGGGTGCTATGAGGAAGAGGAGACAGAAAGATTGTAAAAGCCAAAGGGGATGGACGGCACTCAGGAAACTCTGTCTTCCAGATACAACAGGACTGATACACATGAGCTTACAGAGACCATGGCAGCAGAAACAGGGCCTGCGTAGGTTCAAGACAGATAAGGTATCAGTACTGAGATGGGAAAGTCGACATGGTCTCCCATCTCTAATAAAGAAACGGTCTCCAATTGACAACCCCTTGCGAAGGAAAAATCATTTTTTTTTCTTATAGAGTCTCTGTAGGAATACAAACTACACTTAAGGAGAGTCCCCATGCCCAGTAGTGGACGGCCAGTACAAAACGAACCTAGTGCTGCTTTTGGAGATTTTTTTTTTTTTGTCTCATGTTGCTTGGTTTGGGTATTTTTAAATCTTGCATTTGCTTGTATATTATGGTTTCCAATTTTGTATTTTTATAGGTTCTGTTTGTGTCTGTCTGTCTTTGTGTGTTTCTTGTGTGCCTTCTCATTTTTGTTTGTTTGTTTTTCAATTCTGGTTGATTTGCTTTTTTATTTTCCTGTGTTATTTTTTCTAAAGAGAGAGAGAGAAAAGAGGCATGGAGCTGGATAGGTGAGGAGGTGGGGAGGATCTGGCAGGAGTTGAGGGCAGGAAAACCATAATCAGAATATATTGTATGAATTTTCAACAAAAAGAAAGAAACAGAATCATACCAGAGGACCAGAGAGATAACTGTTAAAAGCACTTGTGGTTCTTGTAGAAGACCCAGGTTCAGTTCCCAGCACTGGCATGGTGGCTCACAACTGTCTGAACTTGAGTTCCAGAGGATCATACAGCCTCTTCCAAAATTCTTAAGACACCACGATGCATATAGTACACATACAGACAGACAAACACTCATACACATAGAACAAAAATAAGTAAATCTTAGCCAGATGTGTTGTTGCACATCTTTAATACCGCCAATGGAGAGGCAGGGGCAGGTGAGGCTCTGAGTTTGTGGCCAGCCTGATCTATATATTAAGTTCTGTTCTAGTCAGAACTACTTAATGAGAGAACCTGTCTCAAAAAAAAAAAAAAAAAGAGTAAATCTTAAAGAAAAAACAAAACTAATCCTATTTAAAATTTTTCTGGGAGTTGGGGATTTAGCTCAGTGGTAGAGCACTTACCTAGCAAGCGCAAGACCCTGGGTTCGGTCCTCAGCTCCAGAAAAAAAAAAATCTGTTAAATCACACAGTAGCCATGGAACTCAATTTAATGGACAAATATTTAAATCTATTCATAAGCTTGGACTATTGGAGAGACAAATAATGTTAATAAATTATCAAAATTAACTAAAGCTTTGCCTTTCTTCTAAGATCTCCTTATAAAGTAAGTACTTGACAGCCTATAAAACATTTAAAATTATTGGAGCCATCTTTACTAAAGGGGAACACGTAAGGGACTTTAAAGTATGATAACTAAAAATTGAGAATGGGTCACAGAGCCTTCCTCTGAAGATTAAGAAAACCATGGTTTTATCAACTGAGAAAAAAGAAGCAGAACAAGCACAAAGTAACCATCGCCTCCCAGACTCCATCCTGCCTGGAGGGAAGGACTCCATCTAGATGCTTCTAACCTATTCCTGCAGGACAACCCTTCATGCCATGAACTCTCAGATTTGTAAGTCTCACATCCTGTGTGCTAATGTCTTCTGGGAAGACATGCACCTGGACCTCAGACATTCTAGATGACATTCATCTTCAACAACACTGACAGCTGAGTACCCAGGCAACTGAACGTTTCTCACATGGTTAGCTTTCTTAAGTCATTTATAATTGGATATTTTTAATTTTAAGGTACTCAGTATTTCACTCACTGCTGTTCCAAGTGATTAGAATAATGCTAATCTTGGTTTTAGTAGAATTGCACAGGAGAATATTGAGTCCTTCTATTAAGGCAGATCTCTGTGAGTTGAAGGCCAGTCTACTCTATAGAGCAAGTTCCAGGGCAGCCAAGGCTATGTAGTAAGACCCTATCTCAGATAGATGATAGATATATAGATAGATGATAGAGAGATAGATAGAGAGATAGATAGATAGATAGATAATTGTTTAAATACTCCAGATATAAGTAAAACTGTTCACAGTTTCATAAATAACTATGAAACATATAAACATTGCTAAACATAAAATTTAATGTTTAGAAATGTATAAATTTTGGTGGTTTAAAATGTTTATTTCCATTATCTGTTACCTTCTCTTTGGTAGGCCAGTGTTCTTGATTGTTTTAATTTTAGGTATATTATCCCTATTATATGTTACATGTTATGTCAAATACAGAGGACAAAAGAAAAAAAGAAAAAAATAGGAGTAGAGATGATTCAGAGGTAAAGTCATTTGCCACCAAGCATGATGAGATCACTTCAATCCCTAGGACTCACAAGTGGAAGGAGAGAACTGACTTTCAAAAGTTGTCCTCTGACCCACTCTTATGGGCTTTGACACAAGTGCACCCGCACACATGCACACACATGCACACAAAATAAATAAAATATACTAACAATCTGATTTAGATCCCAAGGGCTAGTAGATTTTGACAATCTGTTGCAGGAATTTTTTTTCTTAATGGCTTTACCATCTCTCCTCCTAAAGGCTGCTTTCTTACCTTCTCATCATCATCTACATCACATACTGGGAATGAGCTTTTCCTACCCATGAGGAGAAATGAGTATTTGGCCCCTACCTGCACACAACGTGATGCCTGGCTAACAGGGAGAACTATGAACAGAATCTCCTGGGAAGAACCACACTTTCTTTGAGCCTTTGGCCAGGAGGAATGACAATTCACAACGTTAGTGAGGTGGGGAGGGTGGAAAAATGGAAGTCTTGAGACAAATTAGCCTTGGGCATTTATTAACAGCCATTTATTGCTTGCCTCTGTATGTGACTTTTGGTAAGGTCACATCTTTGTGACCAAAAGGTAAATCCTTTGGGATGTATAAGTAGACCCCCAGTTCACATCAGCTAAAAGGCTAAGAATGTCACCAGATAGGATCTGAGGACTATGGCCGACAAATCCCTGCTTTTCTGTGACCTATTTGATGTTTCTTTTTCTTTCTTTCCTTCTTTCACTCGTTCTTCCTTTCTTTCTTTTCCTTCCTTTCCTTCTCCTTTTTTCTTTCTTTCTTCATTTCTCTCTCCCTCCTCCCTCCCTCCCTTCTTCCCTTCCTCCCTCCCTTCTCTTTCTACATGTATTAGTGTTTTGCCTACATGTATGTGTACATACCCCATTAATGTCTGGTGTCCTAGAGAGTCAATGGGAGTCAGGAAAACTGATAGAGATACACAGTAGAGAGGGGCTTTGAGTGTGGCAGTTCTTTTTGGTTTGGAGCATCAGAAGAGATGCTCTGTTTTTCGGATGCCAGAGAAGAAGGAAGGTCAGCTAGTTCCTCCTCAACCTCTCTGAACCAGCAAGTTTTCACCCCAGCCTTTGACTCCCACGTCTTTATTAGTAAATAGGATGATAGAGATTTCATTAAAAACTACATTTGGTGGCAGCAGCAGGAGGTGGATTCGGTGGGATGTAGAAGTCCCACTAGGCCATTGCCTGAGAAGCAGGCCAATAACTGCAGAGCCACAGTTATGACTGAAACAGCAGTAGATTCAGCTGCAGCCTCTGTGCCAGTGGAAAAACAACAATCCCCCAATAATACAGGGGAAGCAATTACATTTTATAACTTTATTCATTTGCTGTAAGACTTGTGTCAAATATTTCATCTATAAAATTTTAAGATGGTTGAGGTTTCAATTCATGAAATAACATGTATAAAATTCTTAGCACAGTGCATTACACAGAGTAAGGTCTTAACAAATGTTAGCTGACAACAGGCCTATTATTTCCTTCCAATGCTTTGGACAATTTTTTAACAAAATGTAATATACATATGGAATGGATAGTTTAATCTAAAATATTTTATGAATATCAAAAAAAACATTAAAATTAATACTAAAAAGAAGAAGAATATGTGACCTAAAGGACAAAAAACTTAAAACAAACTTTAAAGTGTGATGGTTTGGATAGGAATGGCCCCCATAGCTCATATATTTGAGTCCTTGGGCATCAGGGAGTGGTGCTACTTGACAAGGATTAAGAGGTATGGCCTTGCTGGAGGAAGTGTGTTACTGGGGGGTGGGGGTGTTTGACGTCTCAAATGCTCAAGCCAGGCCCAATGTCTCTGTGTATCTGGAAGTTTGATGGGTTGTGTGAAAATTGTATGATGGAGGCATGGAAGAAGAGAGAGATTTGCCTGATATCTAAAATTCCACTAAGAAAGTAATTGCTGTGGGATGGTCTGTATGTCAAATGTGTTGCTGATTGGTCAATAAATAAATCACTGATTGGCCAGTGGCCAGGCAGGAAGTATAGGCGGGACTAACAGAGAGGAGAATTGAGAGAACAGGAAGCTGGATGAGAGGGACACTGCCAGTCGCCATGATGACAAACAGCATGTGAAGATGCCGGTAAGCCACGAGCCATGCGGCAAGGTATAGATTAATAGAAATGGATTAATTTAAGCTATAAGAACAGTTAGCAAGAAGCCTGCCACAGCCATATAGTTTGTAACCAATATAAGTCTCTGTGTTTACGTGGTTGGGTCTGAGGCTGTGGGACTGGCAGGTGAGAGAGATTTGTCCTGACTGTGGGCCAGGCAGGAAAACTCAAGCTACAAATGGCACCCAACGTGGGGCACGAACCCAGGACCCTGAGATTAAGACACGTAAAGATGAATATTACACAGAGAATCTGGATTGTGTTGTCTTTGGGATTTTTAACTGCAGAAAAACATTTGATTGTAAAAGCTGTTGAGTTATGCCAAAATGTATATTTTAAAGGTACCTTGACTTCAAAATTTGGATATAAGGATGTGTTGCCTTGGAAAGGAATCTCTGCTTTTGTTCCCACAGAAAGCCAGAGGCTATGGATTTGTTCCAGATTAAGATACATCAGGTTTGACCAGCCAAGGCCCCCTGAAAGGTCTCGGATGACACCATGGCCCAGATGATCCAACATCCAGAATGGTTTGAAGGCAACTGGCTCAGACAATACAGCCTCATGGACTATTCCATAATCCTAAAATTTTCTTTGTGTCCCCATAAGATATAGCGCCCCCCTCCAGCAGGAAGTAGTAAGAGAAGCTACGCCCAAATTCCCAAATATACCAAGCTGACTTTGGAGATGTGTAAAGGTTAAAACCTTCCTTTTTAAGAAAAGAAAAGAGGAAGTGCTGTGGGATGGTCTGTATGTCAAATGTGTTGCTGATTGGTCAATAAATAAATCACTGATTGGCCAGTGGCCAGGCAGAAAGTATAGGCAGGACTAACAGAGAGGAGAATTGAGAGAACAGGAAGCTGGGTGAGAGAGACACTGCCAGCCGCCATGATGAAAAACAACATGTGAAGATGCCGGTAAGCCACGAGCCATGTGGCAAGGTATAGATGTATGGAAATGGATTAATTTAAGCTGTAAGAACAGTTAGCAAGAAGCCTGCCACAGCCATACAGTTTGTAACCAATATAAGTCTCTGTGTTTACTTGGTTGGGTCTGAGGCTGTGGGACTGGCAGGTGAGAGAGATTTGTCCTGACTGTGGGCCAGGCAGGAAAACTCTAGCTACAGTAATTTTTAATATTTTGCCAAAAAATCATTACGAATATATTCATAAAGCAATCTATATGCTTATGAATCTAAAATATACTTTCAGTGTTCAAAAAATACATTCATGGCATCTTTTCCATGTACCATTTCTTCGTAAGATACTGGAAATTGAGGCACTCTGTTTCCTACAATGGACATTTGGGATGTTTCCCCATATCATTTGCTCTCCATTTTTTTTTTGATTGGCCATCTATTGACTCCTCCAGTGATGGAAAATTCATGAACTCTTGAGCCAATATATTTACCATCTAGGCAATAGTACTTGGGACTTCCACTCTCTAGATCAAGGGTCTAGCTTGGTAGTGATACAGAAAACTTATACTGAGTTAGTAATTGATGACCTAGACTCACTTGAGGATGGAACTATATTAAATTGCCTTCTGATCTGTAGCTATCATTGGATCATAGTTTTTTCTTTTGGGCATCTGAGTTACAACAGGCTACTTAGGGATTCCCAGGACTCTAGCTGCTTCTCCCTTAGCTAACTTTTACATGGCAAAATGGCAGCCTCTGACTGAGCAGAAAAACCAGTTTGTGGAACACTAAACTACTCAGAAGAAGGTAGTTCTTCATAACATCTAGGGCAGGTTCAGACAGAAAGTAGCCGTGTGCAACAGAACAAGTGAAAAACCACAGGGAGGGAAGCTGATCCCTACACAACTGTTCCGGTCTATGGAACCTGATCTCAAAAGGGCTCACTGCTCAGCCTCACTTCCCCCATTCTTCAGAATCCTTTCCTACTGATGCTTTAGTTACAATGATGTTATTGAACATTGACAAAAAGCTTACAGAGGAGTGTCATTGAATAGAGAACAAAAAATTCACAATACATTCACATACAAACTGCAATCCATTTTAAAGAGTAGCTATCTTGGGCTATAGTGTCATTTATTTTGCTTGTTTTGGGAAGGGGAGAAAGGTTATACAAGGGGAAAAGGCACTTCTTACGTAAAATTTGGTTTTCATAGATTTGGGACTTTAGAAGCCATTCTCTTAACTCCCCCGCCCCACCCTTTTAATGTTTCATGATTATTTATTTTACAACCTGACTGCTGTTTCCCCTCCTTCCTCTCTTCTCAGGCCCCCCAAATCTCCCTATGTCCCTACCCCCTCAATCCACTCCTTCTACATTTCTGTTCAGGAAAGGGCAGGCCTTCCATGGACATCAACAAAACATCGCATATCAAGTTGCAGTACTTCCCCATGTATTAAAGCTGGACAAGGAGACCCAGTATGATGAGTAGGGTCCCAAAAGCCAGCAGAAGAGTTGTAGATAGTCCCTGCTCCTACTGTTAGGAGTCCCACAAGAAGACAAAGCTACACAACTATCTCATATATGCAGAGTGCTTAGGTCAATCTCATGCAGGCTCTCTGGTTATCGGTTCAGTCTCCATGAGCCCCTGTGAGCCCAGGTTAGTTGATTCTGTGAGTTTTCTTGTGGTGTCCTTGACCCCTCTGGCTCCTACAATCTTTTCTCCTCATTTTCTGCAGGATTTCCTGAGCTCTACCTAATGTTTGGCTGTGGGTCTGCATCTGTTTCCATCAGTTGCTAGATGAAGTCTCTCTGATGACAATTGGGTATAGCAGAATATTATTAGGCATCATTACATTGACATTTTTTCCTCCAGTTATGTTTGGTTCTATCCTAGGTCTCCGGCTCATCCTGCCTGTGGATCCTGGTACTCCAGACCGTGTCAGGGGTAGTCTTACTCACCTGGCATGGGTTTTAGACTAGACCAGTCATTGCTGGCCACTCCCTCAATCTCCAGGCCACCCTTACCTAAGCACATCCCATAAGCAGGACAGACTGTAGGTTGAAGGCTATGTGGCTAGGTTGGTGTCCCAATTCCTCAACTTGAAGTCTTTCCTGGTCACAAGAGATGGCCAGTTCAGGCTACAAATCTGATTTTGCTAGGAATCTTAACTGGGGTCCTCCTTGTAGATTCCTGGGAGATTCCCTTGTACCAGGTTTCTACCTGACCCTGAAGTGCTCCTCCCCTTTCCAATAGTCTTTTTCAGTACTGTCCCCTTCCATTCCCCCACAAACTGATCACTCATGTTCCCATCCCCACCTGCCCAAAGTCCATTCATGAAATCTCTTCTATTTCCCCCTCCCAGGAATATCTGGGTATTCCCCCCTCCTTGAACCCTTCTTGTTACCTAAGTCTGTGGATTATAGCATAGTTATCCTTATTTTACAGCTAATATCCACTTATGAGTGAGTACATACCATGTTTGTCTTTCTGAGTCTGGGTTACCTCATTCAGGATGACTTTTTTCTAGTTCCATCATTTGCCTGCAAATTTCATGATGTCATTGTTTTTAACAGCTGGGTAATACTCCATTGTGTAAATGTACCACATTTTCTTTATCCATTCTTTGGTTGAGGGACATTTAGGTTGTTTCAGGTTCTGACTATTTTTTTATTACAAATAAAGCTGTGATGAACATAGATGAGCAAGTGTCCTTGTGGTATGATTGAGTATCCACAAGGTATATACTCAAGAGTGGTATTGCTGGGTCTTGTGGTAGATTGATTCCCAGTTTTCTGAGAAACTGCCATACTGATTTCCAAAGTGGCTGTACAAGTTTGCACTCCCACCAGCAATGGAGGAGTGTTCCCTTTGCTCCACATCCTCTCCAGCATGAGCTCTCACTTGTGTTTTTGATCTTAGCCATTCTGTCTGACAGGTGTAAGATGGCATTTCAGAGTTGTTTTGATTTGCATTCCCCTGATGGCTAAGAATATTGAGTATTTCTTTAAGTGTTTCTTGGCCATTTGAGATTCTTCTGTTGAGAATTCTTTGTTTAGATCTGTACCCCATTTTTAAATTGGATTATTTGGTTTTTTGATGTCTAGTTTCTTGAGTTCTTTATATACTCTGGCAATCAGCCCTCTGTCGGATGTGGGGTCAGTGAAGATCTTTTCCCATTCTGTTGGCTGCCGTTTTGACCTATTGATGGTGTCCTTTGACTTACAGAAGTTTTTCAGTTTCATCAGGTTCCATTTATTAATTGCTGATCATAGTGCCTGCACTATTGGTGTCCTGTTCAGGAAGTTGTCTCCTGTGCCAATACATTCAAGGCTATTTCCCACTTTCTCTTCTGTCAGGTTCAGTGTATCTGGATTTATGTTGAGGTCTTTGATCCACTTGGACTTGAGTTTTGTGCATGGTGACAGACATGGATCTATTTGCAATCTTCGACATGTTGACATCCAGTTATGCCAGCACCATTTGTTGAAGATGCTTTCTTTTTTCCATTGAATATTTTTGGCTTCTTTGTTGAAAATCAGGTGTTGATAGGTGTGTGGGTTTACATCTGGGTGTTTGATTCAATCCCATTGATCCACCTGTCTGTTTTTATGCCAATACCATGAGGTTTTTATTACTATATCCCTGTAGTAGAGCTTGAAATCAGGGATAGTGATACCTCCAGAAGTTCTTTTACTATACAGGATTGTTTTAGCTACCCTGGGTTTTTTGTTTTTCCATATGAGGTTGAATATTGTTCTTTCAAGATCTGTAAAGAATTGTGTTGGGATTTTAATAGGGTTTGCATTGAATCTATAGATTGCTCTCTTACAACTCCTTTATATACTACATACTCAACCCCCAAACCTCCCCCTGTAAGACTGACTTCATCCTGCTCCTCTACTGTTCTTTCACAGAAACTGATTTTTTTACAAGCAACTGATTTATTTGCTTTATTTCGGAGCCATTGAGGGAGAGGGTGGAAAATACAGTCAACAAATGGAGGGAAGAGAACAGTTTAAAGGAATCCTGGGAAAGAACAAAATAGGAAATTCAATAAGCCCATGATACCAGATAAAGTATAACCAGCAATTGCCCCAGTACAACATAAAAATCTGAGCTTAGGGGGCCTGGTGAGCTAGCTCAGAAGGTAAAGACATGTTACTCGAGTTTGATAGCTAGAACCCATGTAAAGGTGGAATAAGTGGCTCCTCAAACCTGTCTTCTGACCTCTGCACCCTTACCAGAGCATGTGGTCCCCCAAACAAATTAAACAAAGTAAAATCTAAGGTCACTCCCTCTTGGATTTAGCTCCATACTCCTATTATTCCTAATCATCAACCCAAGTAGAATCTGGGAGATGCCCTCCTGTGAAGCCTCTCCCGGTTCCCAGCTGTAGGCTGCCACAGCTATTCTCAGTTACTGAGCATCTCTGTCAACGGGCACTACTCTAACAATGTACTTTGTTAAAGTACTGCTTCTTTCTAGTAATGCAAAATATAGAGACACAAAGATCATTCCCTGACCCCATTTAAAACAAACAAAAAACAGAAAAGCAAAACACAAAGGTCAACACCATGGACTCAATTCAGGCCAACGCTATACACCCACCAGCTTCAGTCCCTGACGAGGCTGTAGGCTCAGCTGAGGCTTCTACCATCTCTGCGTTGAGAGGGGCTTGTCTTTCCAACCAGCGCCGCCAGCCTTACTTCCTTACAGGTGCCTCTTTCAACCAACTGCCGTTAGAACTTCTTGAGGAAAGGCATTTCCAGGATACTGCTTCTAGGACACGGCACAAATTCACAGGGCACTTTAGTGTCTGTCAGAATCCTGACCAAAGCTCATTTTCTTACCTCATTAACCCAGATCATTCCTGATGACTATAGCTCTTTCTGTGGCCAAGGCTCTACCTATGAGAGCATAATTCTTCTTCCAATGAGGTGTGGGATACTGGTGGCTTATACAGACAGGTATGGTAGTAGTTAGCTGAGTTTGTTGTTACTTTAATAGCTGCTATTTTTGCTCAAGATTCTCTAGAATCAGAGCCTGAGATGAAGAAAGACTCAAGTGAAAATGATGTATCAGAATCTAGGCCAGCTTCACTCCTGTGCAAAGGAAAGTCACACGCCTGTGCACTACACAGAAACCTATGATTGACTTAATGCTCAGCCATAACATTTTGAAATTCTTAAATAATTTTGAGCATTTTTTTCATTCTGTATTGAGTCACATAAATCATATTGCAAGTCCTGTTTGGGACCTATTCCCAAGAAAATTTGACAGGAGAGTAGGAAGTAGAACAGGGAAGACCAAGAAGGGCAAGGGAAGACGGCCTAAGAAAAATGCTGGAGAAAAGGGTAGACTCTGATCCCACCCCTGCAGGGAGTGCCACTGACAGCATAGATGTAGCTTTGCTGTTATCCCAATTAGGGTCAAAATGCAGTATTTTTACCTCCACACTCCTGTCACTGGTTAAAGACAAGATGCAGACAGTAAGCCATGTGGTGGTGGTGGTGGTGGTGGTGGTGGCGGCGGCGGCGGCGGCGGCGGCGGCGGCGGCGGCGGCGGCGGCGGCGGCGGCGCACACCTTTAATCCCAGCATTTGGGAGACAGAGGCAGGTAGATCTCTATGAGTTCAAGGGCAGCCTGGTCTACAGAGTGAGTTCCAGGACAGGCTCCAAAGCTACACAGAGAAACCCTGTCTCAAAAAAAAAGTGTAGAAAGAATGTTAGCTACCAGGCACTTCCAGCCATCCTGTGCCCAGGCAAAGGACATCCTGAAGCTGAAGGTGGTAGTTTGACCATGACATGTAGATGCTAGCCGGCAAGAAGTACACTTGGAATCAGTGTTCTTAAAACTGGAGAAGGATCACAAGAGAGACAACCAAATGTTAATGGAAATACAGGAACAGGCAAAAATGAGTGCTTGATGATCCAACTATTTCATGAGTGAAATTACTAACTGCAAAGGCATATACTCATTTATATGAAACAAGTGAGCCTATATATTATATATACATAATGTATTATATATACTATCTATATATACTACATGCATATATATCATATGTATAAATTTATATATATATATAATAGGAGGCACGGATACATGGAGATGGAATGTGAGTTATCGAAGTTCAGGAAAATAGGTCTGGAACCATGGGTAAACGCACAAACTGTGGAAATACCCTGCATTTAAAACCTGACTCTGCCCCTTTCAGACTGAGTGGGTTAACTTTGCTGTGCCTACCTACTAGGGTTGCCAGGAGAATGAAAAGATTTAATATATGTAAGGCTCTTAAAGCAACATCTGCCACACAGGAAGTACTAGTTAAATGTTAGCTCTCATTGTTCTTGCCTTTTGGCTAAATGATCAGAACTTCCCAACTCTCTGTAGTACACTTATCCCTCAGTGCCCACAGGGGATCGGCTTCCGGACCATCCTCCACTGCTACACTAAAATCTAAGGACGGAAAACTCTGAGATCAAATGACATAGTATTTGCATAGTATTTGCATATAACTTACCTACATCTTACATATGATAATGGTTTAGTTATTCCTAGATTATTTGTTATCTAGTTCTACACAATGTAAATGGTAATTTTGTTAGACTGTAGTATAAATGAAATAAAGACAAGAAAAGCATACTTGTTCAGAACAGACTTAATTTTGTTTTCAAATATTTTTCAATCTGTAGTTGAATCTGAGGGTGCAGATCCCACAGATATTAATGATTAACTGCATTTTATTCTTAATTTGTTGCAGGCTGATATTTTAGTACAAAACAGAGAGAGAGAGAGAGAGAGAGAGAGAGAGAGAGAGAGAGAGAGAGAGAAATACAAAATGGGGGAGATGAGAAAAAATAAAAGGCCACACTTCAAATGACTTGATTTCAATAGACAATTTCTGCAAAAGTTTGTACGTGATCTTGGATTTTTGTTCTCTCCTTATGGGGATAGCTGTTTATAGACTGTTCTGTGGTTACAATTTGAAGAGCACTGAACCAGGCATACTTCAACAAGCCACTTTGGTTGTTTCTGTCACAGACTAATGAGAGGAAAATTAAAAGTACAGGACAACACTTACCTGAGCTAGAGAATGGTCACGAGATGCAAATCACTGGTATGACCGTAACAGTCTTTTGTTGTGTCAGGCCGATGTGTTTAGGGTGCGTCCTTGAACTGCCCCATCTGAATCAGCCGACTGTATCCTAACCCGGTACAAAGTAGGAAATAAAGGGCAGGCTGTGATTTGTACCCCAACAAGAACATTCTCTGGAGGCTGCCAAGCAAGGCATACTTGAGTAAGTGTAAACAGGAATGGATTTAATGCTATCAGTGGGATTCAGTGCCTAGATCCCAGCATCCCAACAACTCACCTCTCTTCCTCAATGAAACTCCAGTGACTCACCCACTTCTTGTATTTATTTATTCTTTGATTATCACAAATACTCACATGTTTCTTGTTTGATTTCTCATTTTAAAGAATATGTTTTATTTATGCTTTGACAATTCATACATGTATCTTGATCACACTCAACTTCCTCTCCCACTCTCCCATCACAACCGTCAACATGTTTCCGACTTACTTCCTTCCTTCCTTCCTTCCTTCCTTCCTTCCTTCCTTCCTTCCTTCCTTCCTTCCTTCCTTTCCTTCCTTTCTTCCCTCCCTCCCTCCCTCCTTTCTGTAATGAACTGGGTCCAATTAGAGCTGCCTGCTCTCACCCAATACTTTAAAGAAGCACTTTGCCCACATTGGTTCTTAGTGACCTACTTTGGCCTTCTATCTCTATCCTGCTAAACGAGAAAGTAGATCCCTCGGAGTGCACTAGCCGATTGCTGGTTATTACCATCTCTGCTGAACTCAGGCTTTTTGAAAGCAAGCCTCCCTTGGGTTGGTATCTCCTATCACGTTTAGCATAATACTTGACACGCAACAGGTGCTTCGTTTCGTTGAATGACTGTCAGCAGCTATTGTGGAAGCAAAACTGGCCCTTCAATCTACCAAACTCTAAATTCATACCAAAAAAAAAAAAAAGACCAATCTGATCCAATTAATTTATTACGCACAACTTTGCCAAGTATGGGGCATTCGGAAGCACAAATTTCACGGGAATCTAGGGGGAAGGCACGGTAGATGATGTTCTTAACATTTCACCATCTGGCTTTACCTCCTTTCCTGAGAAACAACATCCCCGTGGCCCCAGAGCCCTTTAAATACGATGGTGGCCGTTTCCTCAGACCTTTCTGGATCAGAGCCTCACTTTTGTGTAAGGGTTTGGCAGAGCTCATCTTCTCAGGCCGGGCACTGCGGAGAACCTGGGCGGTGCGTGGTGATTGCGGCGCGTGGGTCCTACCTCACCGCAGAGAGGCGCACCAACCTTGCCGCGGGCACGCGTGTCCACACACACACACACACACACACACACACACACACACACACACACACACACACACCCGACGGCCGCAGCAGAGCGCGGCGGTGACAGCGTCCCGGGCCGGTGGTGCACCAATCTTGCCGCGGACACGCGTGTCCACACACACACACACACACACACACACACACACACACACACACACACACACACACACACAGTGGTGCACCAACCTTGCCGCGGACACGCGTGTCCACACACACACACACACACACACACACAATGGTGCACCAACCTTGCCGCGGGCACGCGTGTCCACACACACACACACACACACACACACACACACACACACACACACACACACACACACACCCACACACACACACCCCCGACGGCCGCAGCAGAGCGCGGCGGCGACGGCGTCCCGGGCCGGTGGAACCGAGCAGAGGGGGTGGCGGCGGCCGCCCCGCCCCCCGGGCCGCGCGCCCCGCCCACGCGCGCGGGGAGGAGCCGGAGCGGAGTGGGGAGGAGAGGTCGGGCGGTCCCGGAGCGCAGAGAGACCGACTCCCTGGCTGCGGCGGCGGCGGCGGCGGCGGCGGGTGAGTGCCAAGCGATCGCGGGGACCGGGCCGCGGGGACCCAAACAGGACGGCGCGGGACGCCTCCACTTACGGGCCGCCGGCGGGCCCCGCGAACCGGCCGTGGGCTGGAGCGAGGGAGCGGAGGAAGGAAGCGCGGGCTGCGGGCGCCCTGGGCCGCGGGAGGGGAGTGGGAGCGAGGCCCGCCGCGGCCCACAGACGCGAGAGCCCGCGGACACGAGCGACCCCCGAGGCTTGGGTCTCTGTTGCCACCCAGCCCGGCCTCGACCGGCCCGCGGGAGGCCCGGGAGTCACCGCCCAGCTCGCGTTTGGTGCGGGAGGAGCGGGTCGGGGCTGCCACGCACACCCCACCTCTCCCCGCGACGGTCTCCGGACGCGCGTGGACTGGCAGCCAGGGTGCTGGAGTCCGCACAGGGCGGGTGGCGGCCGGGAAGGAGAGGATCGTGGAGAGAACTCGGGTGACACTCCACGAGGGACCCTGCGGCGGTGACTCAGACAGGAAGGTCGGAGTTTAAACTTGAGCCTTGCGTGATTTATTTCTTTTTTTTTTTTTAAATGTAGCGCCGGACGCTTAGCCTGTGGGTTAGAGAAACTCGTTTTCATTTTAGTAAGGGCCTGCCAATTAAACCTCATTTTAAGACGCCATTGCTAGTGTCTACTGACACTCATTTATCCTGGCCGTGGGTGTCTTGTAAACTTGACTTAAATCATTCATAACTTTCGCAAAGGGAGCCGTGATTCTTGTTAAACTTTGAGCAACTGGGGATCAGCTGGAAGGATCTGCCAAGGCCTGTGGTTTCGTGGTCCTGTGCGGGCGTGGCAGTGCACAAACAAGTGGGTAGGCAAGGAAGCAGCCCCATGCCTGAGCTGGAGGGGAGGTCTGTGCCCATGTGCCAGGGCACGTTTAACCGCGGCTCCCAGTGGAAACACTGGGGATGTCTTAGGCCTTGTTGGACAGACTTCACATGATTCGCCTCATTCCGGCCAGTTATTTCCTCTCCCCTCGGCTGTCTTTGGACACTGTTTATATTTCCTGGGGCGGTCGTAGCGTCTCCTGAATAGATTGTCTATAATGAATCTTTTTGGATGTTGTCAGAGCCAGGCTCTGTGTCTGTGTGTTCTCAATTTTTAAAGCAATAGCTTGGCTTTGTTTTTAGAATGCTGGTCAGTCACCCTGCTGCACCATGGCTTGGCACTTCAGACCATGGATGTAAATTACCACTGGATTCCAGCCCTTCCCCAGGGAAACTGGGAAAGCAGGCCACTCCAGAACAGTGGGGTTAAATCTAGCAGTCACTTTCAAGTAAGGAGGGTTCTCCCGCTTTTTAGAACAAAAATGTATATGTCGGCCAGGCCATTTTCCAATAAATAAACACGTGGTTCTCACATAGTTTTACTTTTTATTTTTGTGTGCTTCATACATGTGTACCCCCTTACTCTCTTTCAACCCCCTCCCACTGACCACCCACTTCCTCCTAGCCCGGTTTTAAAAAGCAGTCAATTGAAGATTGCTAACTAGATAAGATAGTCAGACCCTTTGCCTTCCTTAGCAGTCAGCCAGCACCATAAAGCTATGGATTAAATCCAGTGAATGCTGAACAGTAACTACAATGCCTTTGTATTTAGCACAAGCAATTTACTAGGCGTCGAACCCCCAGTGCAGCGCACAGCACTTAGGTGTGTAGAGAACTGTGTAAAAATGAGGACCAGTGCTTCGCAAGAGACTGCCAGTGTGGTATGGAAAGGCCGCACTCTGTGCAGAAAGCGCTGGGCTTACTTGAAAGACAAAGTCTCTGACAGTTGAGTTGCTGTTGTCTCTTGTGACAGAACCTGTGTGATGATCTGGTTGTGAGAGCGGAGGACTTCGGGGTAAAGGAGAGCTCCGAAAAGTTAACTAGTGCCCAATCATTTTTATTCCAAACCTCTCCCTAGTAGGAAGAAAATGAGACGTAGAATAATAATATCACTGACGATGCTGGGTTTTCATGAGGTGGGTTTTTTGTTGTTTTTGTTTGTTTCGTTTTAGTATAAGCCTTACCTAGGAAGGTAAGTTCTAGAAGTAATTTTTTCTTTTCAGCCCTGCCTGGGAAGGAAGGGGTTTCACAGGGGTTTACTGTGTAGGCTTTCTTGTCAGACCAGGATGAGAATAGTGTTTAGCCTTTTCCAATCTGATTTGTAAAATAGGGATAATCATGCTCTCTATTTCTAGAGTTTTAGTGAAATTGTGTCAGCTAGGTGTTGGAAAACTGTAGACTGAGAATAACTATGGTAAGTGCTTAGAATGATCGCTTTCTTTCCTTTTTTAACCTCCTTTACTCAGTCAGCAGGATAAATGGGTAAATTGTGCTAGCTAGAACCTTCTGGAAATGCCAGACACCACAGTTTTAAGTTCCAAAGAATGATGGATGCTGGCATGGTAATCACATCTGTAATCTCAGCAGATGGCAATGCTGAGGCAGGAGAATTGCTGTGAGTTGTCAACTCCAGTCTGGACAACATAGTAAGTTCCAAGCTAGCCTAGACTACAGTGAGATCTTGCTCAAAAAACTAGAAAGTTGACCAGATTTGTGTGTGTGTGTGTGTGTGTAAATATGTATAAGCTTGTATTCCTTTTTCTGCCACAGCAGTATGAATAATAATGATTGATGGACTAATAATTTTAATTTGCTTTTGATGTTGTTAAATACATAATATTTTTAGGGTTAGGCAATTAGGAACATAAGTTAGCCTTTAAATTTAAAGAGAGTTTTTATTTCAAATAGTTACATTTATTAACTTGGATAGGAAATTGAATCAATAATGGAAGCAGCATTTGTCGTTCATCAAGTGTGACTTTTCAAGTTTGAAAGGATTCGGCCCAAGAGTATGTTGTTTGCTCTTGTGTGCATGGCTGTCCGAGGCAGCAGGTAAGCCATGAGAAGTGGGGACTAATCGTGTTCATTTTTGTGAGAGTGGGTGGTTAGTTAATTCAGGGAATTAGCTCATGGAGACACTGCATCATTTGCTAAAATTTGCAAAGTTCTTAATACATATCAGATGCCTGGAATCCAATTGATCTGGATTGTAGCTCATGTCAGTGATACACAGAAATCCTAGTTTATAATGATTTCCAGTAGGAAGGGTACAGTGTTCATTATGAATTGTTTTGGGCCCACGATATTGTGCCCTGCTGTAGTGAAAGACTTGATTGAATAAATTACCGCTTGCTTTCACTCCTAGAAGATTAGAGCATAATGATGGATTGCTGGCTTGTGTTCCTAGGCTTGTAGATTGGACGACTTGGTTAATTTCTCTGTGCTTCTGTTGAGGTTGTGGGGAATCATGAATTTGTCTTCATAGACCATGTGGAACATTGCCTGACATGGAGTCTGTATTCAATAAGTATTGGCATTAATACATCTTTGTACAAATAATGAGCATGCATTACTATTATAACGGGAAAATGGCCACACAAAATTTTCATATTTCTCTCAAATCCAAAAAGGCTATTATTATTCAAAACACGCTGCCAGATTGTGCTTACAAAGTAAGAGACTATGCAATGATTAGGCAGTAGTATTTTGTCTTTTAAATATGAAATGGGTTGTGATATCAACTTACTCAGCAAATTGATTCTAGATCTTAATTTCATTTTCCTTTCTAACTGCTAGCTCATGCATGAAGTCTGTTTTGGGTTACACAGTTGGAAGACAGGTACAAATATAGTGCATTATTCACAATTACAGCTAGCTATGTATTTTTAAAAGGCTTGAAGGAAATACAAACAAGTGGATGCCTCCATTTTCTCCCAGTAAGCATGTACGTATAACAAATCATTTGTAATATTTGTTACTCAAAATAAATTCTGGTCTATAACTGCATGTAGCAGAATTTTGTTGCCTTGGGAAAAAAACACACCAACTTTTGTGACATATGAATGCCATCACATTAAGTGCCAAGGCCTTTGCAAATGGGAAGCCCTTCAGAAGTTTTTAGGTTTATGTTTGCAAGAGGGGGTGTGTGTGTGTGTGTGTGTGTTACTGATGATTGAATCTACGGCCTTGTACATGCTAGGTGGTGCTGTATACTGCTACAGTCAGGAGCCTCCTACGGCCACCTCCCAAGGACTGGGGTGACAGATCTCTGCTGCCGTAGGAGAAATAAGAAAGAGCTGTATATAAGCCAAGTCTGAGTTCACAGAAGTTGCTACTTCCCAGATCCAGGTCCTCTGCCTTGACAAGCTGCATTTGTAGAGCACCTCCCATCTGCCCTGGATGACGGGGATGAGGAAGAATGGGTGCACCGAGGCTAACAGGAACATTGGATAAATAAAATGTGGTTGCAGCACAGTTGAGTGCTTCTCGTCATTAAGCTGCCGTACCATACACCCTGGGCCTTTTCTGAGTCCAGACCTTGATCAGTTCTCACCAAGGCCCACATGAAGCTGGCGTTCCTTAAGCATCCAAACCTCAAGAGGTAGAGCAAATTTTCCCCCAGAGTTGCCGTAATGCCATAGCTGATTCAGCACTCTGCCAAGAGTCATAGGAGAGGCCCATAGGATCAAAGGAGAGAGAGCAGAGGGCTTAATGCGGTGTGTGTGTGTGTGTGTGTGTGTGTGTGTGTGTGTGTGTGTGTGTGTGTGTGTGTAATGTACTTTGGAAAGCTGTAAATCAAGTCGAGAGAGATAGAGAGGACTTCTTACATGAGAGACAAGCAACCAGAAGAGAATTATGGGTGCCTCTCCACTGGGGCTCATTGCCTCTTCAGCCGTTGTAGTTAGT